TTTTTGGGATGACTGTACATATATGGCATTTTATTTTGTATTTAAAGAATTTGGTTATTTTTATTCTTATCTATACCTGTATGTATGAGTTATCCAATTTAATATTTTCCTTAGTTCACTAGTAGTAGTGCGATTCCACTAAGTGTAGAGACCATGGCGAGTCGTTACAGAAACAAAATTCATCTCGCCTCCCAATATTGTCAAATATGGCCAAAGATGTTTTTGCCACCCTTGTGTCAATAGTGGCATCTGAAAGCGTATTCAACACTGGTGGAAGAGTGTTAGATACCTTTAGAAGCTCCCTCAACCTAGAAATGGCTGAGGCATTAATCTGCTGCCAAAATTGGTTGAGACCTTGTTTGTTGCAATTTAAAGAGGTTAATCCAGTTGAAGAATTAGAAAGCTCTGAAAATATTGTAATAGGTAACATTTATTCTTTTCCCACTATCATTTATAATATTTTTATTTTTTTATTTTTTAATTTTTAGTTTTTTGCTACCAAGTTCCTAAGAATTTCAAATGGGAACTACTAGATCCCAAGGAGCTGGAGTTGTAGCATCAAGGGTTGGGATTGAAAATGGTGGAGTTGGATCATCATCTCAATCAAAGCCAGTGATTACTTGCTGAAAGTAATGGCCAATTACAAGGTATAAACAAAACTAAACAGCAAAGAACAAGTGGCTTAAAAGAATTAGGAAAACAGCCACCAAGAATTAGTGATGGATTAATGACCAAATTTGCAACAAAATTTTCAATTTAGTAAGGAAAAATTGGTCTCTAAAATCCGTCACTAATACTTATATATATATTTTTTTAAATTCAAGTACAATTCAAATTTAAATCTCCACAAGTCTTCACGGCTGATCCAGTCCAGCAACCACAATTTTCAGCCAAGAGTGTTTATGGTGTTTGTTTTTGAAGTAGTCAAATTCGAAAGCCACCTATGTCTTTTCCTCCTCCTTTCCTTAGGCTTCTTTTGATGACCCTTGTAGAACTAGCCTCTAGGAAGATAGGCTAGGTCAAACTTAGGCCACACTTGAGTTTAATCAAGGATAAGAACAGCAAAGAGAATTGAAGAATTAAGGAACATAAGAATAGAGTAGGAAATGACAATTTTAGATGACACAATCAAGTAGTGGACTAGAACAAGAAAGAATTGACCTAAGATTAGTTCTAGAATGGATGCACAAAACCAAAACACTCAAAGATATGTGAACTGAAAATTTTATGATTCAAGAACAAGTATAAACCGAGAAGAAACAAATAAGAATTCAAACTCCTTAATTGGCTTTTACTTTTCAAATTTTGGTTTAGCACTTTTTTTTTAATCAATTTGTTTTGAATTTTCTTTTGATCTTTTTCTTCTAAATTTTTTTTAAACTTAGGAGTTGCCGTTTTCTTTAAATTTTTATGTCTCATATGAGTCTCGGTCACCTTAGGAACACTAAAATCGAATTCAAAAATGAAGTGCCAAATGACAAGCAAATAAGGTTCAAATTCAAGTCAAATGAGTCATGCTTTTAATGCTTGTGAGTTTAGATGGCACATGCACGGTTTTAGGCTCCACAATTCAAATTCAAATTTGAATCACAAACACAATTTCCAGCACTTCTTTAAGCAATCAAGATCAAAACACTCACAGATTGAAGAAATTTTTTAAGACATTTTCAAATTTTGGAAACCTAAATTTTTTTTTCTAAGAAAACTACTAATGATCTAATAGTAGTTCATGAAATCAATCAAAACAAAAAATTATCAGCTTATACCAAATGGCTATGGATCTCGGCCAAATCCAGAAAAATGATTCAAGTTTCACTCCAAAAATTTAAAACGGATCAACAAGCAATGCTAAGAATGATGAACATACAAAGGACTACACAAACCTACTAGACATGGATTCAAAAAAAAAAAAACAAGACTAAAAAATTTAATGACCGAAAAAGATTTCAAGTATGACTCAAAGAAATTAAAAAGTTCATAGGCAGAAAATTTCCTAAAAGGCACAAGAATAGAGCATAATTCATGGAAGCATAATATTTCAAAAGCATAATGAATCATTCAAGCAAACAAGAAACTAGATCCATCAAATTTTATGGCTAAAATTAGATCTAGGAATGAAGAAACTCTCATGTCACAAGACTCAAAACAAGATGAACAAAAATGAAAAACAAAGAACCACGGATCACAACATCAAAAGACAAGAATCAAGACTTATCTCTTGAAGAAAACCGAATGCTCTAGATACCACTTGATGTGCTTCCACTTGGAATGCACATGGATGCTTCAAGCTTTCACGGAAGTCCTTGGAAGAAGCTTCAAGGATGGAGGCTCCACAAAAGCTCAATGTGACCTAAGCTTGCATTCAAGCTAAGTCCGAAGAAGATTTAGGGTTCCTAGCTCTACAAAGAGAAGCACTCAAGGAGGGTAGAGTTTAGGAACTAGGGGACTTCGGAGGGATGAATTTCAAGAGAGAAAAACTCATCAATATATTCCAAAGTAAGCTTACAAGTCTCGGCCACAAGGATTTGTAGGAATATATTAGGTAAAGGTGACCTTGGGTTAGCCTAAGGTTAAGTGGAACCAAGGTAAGGTTCACTTAACCTTAGGCGCCCAAAATTTGAATTCAAATTCAAATTCAAATTTTGGTGCCTAAAACCCGGATCACCCATGTGCTTATTCATTTGGCATGTAATTAGCAATCCATTTGAGTTGCATTTCGGATCACACCATGTGCATGTGTTGCACATGGCCGAAATGCACATCAAATGTGATTTTAATTACATGCTAATGAAACCTCACATGTAACCTAAAATAACCCTAAATGCAAATGTCCTCTAAATGTAAATCCTAAGCTACATGGCCGGAAATACAAGGCCCAAAAAGAATTACAAGGCACCAAGGCCCAATAATACACTAACCCTAGTCTACTTGGACTTGAGTCAAAGCCCAACAAAACAAAGTAATGGGCTTCCCATGGGCTTGGGCCCACTCTTCATGAATCCCTCTTTCCATAGCCCTAGGAGTTGGTCCCTTGGCCCATGGGCTTCCTCCATCCCTGGGCCACAAAGTCGGCAACGCTAGCGACAGCGAAGACCAGGGGTGGATGACAAGCATCTAGAGTTACTTGAAAGAAGGAACCTTGCCCGAGGATAAGGACGAAGCTCAGAAGGTGAGGATGAGATCGGCTAAGTTCGTCATTTTCGAGGATGAGCTATTCAAGCGTGGCATTTCCATCCCACTGCTCAAGTGCTTGACCGCGCCTCAGACAGCTTATGTCATCGAGGAAATTCACCGGGGCATATGTGGCATGCATTCTGGAGCTCACTCAATGGCGACCAGAGTACTTCGAGCTGGATACTACTGGCCCACTCTGAAATCAGATTGCCAGGACTACATACAAAAATGTAAAGAGTGCCAGCAGTTCGGCAACACACACCAGCAACCGCCCAAAGCTCTCCACCATATGATGTCGGCATGGCCTTTCTCCCAATGGGGAATGGACATCCTCGGGCCATTCCCCCCCCCCCCCGCAAGGACAGCTCAAGTTCCTCCTAGTGGCGATTGACTACTTCACCAAGTGGATCGAGGCATGCCCACTCGCCAAAATCACCACTGAAAATGTGCAAAGGTTCACCTGGAGGAGTATTATTTGCAGATTCGGAATCCCTCACACCCTCGTTACTGACAACGGCTGGCAATTCATCGCACAGGGATTTGAGGACTTCCTTCGCGAGCTCGGTATCAAGCATCTCCCGACCTCGGTGGAACACCCGCAGACCAATGGCCAAGCCGAAGCAGCCAACAAGGTCATCCTCCAGGAACTTAAGAAGCGGCTAAGGAATGCCAAAGGATAGTGGGCCGACGAGCTCCCAAGCATCCTCTGGGCGTATCACTGCACCCCCCAGTCAACCACGGAAGAGACGCCTTATAGGTTGACCTACGGAGCTGACGCAATGATCCTAGTGGAGGTCGGAGAGATGTCTCCCCGACGCCAAGTTTTCAACAGCGAGCAAAATGCTCAAGAGTTAACAACTGACCTCGACTTGGTCGACGAGCTCAGAGACGAAGCTCAAATCCACGAAGAAGCCTGCAAACTCCGGGCTTCTCGAAGATACAACACGCGAGTGCGACCTCGCTCTTTCCGAGTTGGCGACTTGGTATGGCGATTGCTAGGCGAAGCACGGAAAGACACGTCAGAGGGGAAGTTTGCACCTACTTGGGGCGGCCCATTCCGAGTGACAGAAGACTTGGAAAATAGAGCGTACCGACTAGAAGAGCTCAACGGAAAACTTGTACCGTGAACTTGGAATGCTACGCATCTCAAGTTTTATTTCAGCTAATTTTGTACGAATGAGCTGTGCACTCTTTTCCCGCCTCAGTCTTTTATCCCAAAAAATAGAAAAATGGGTTTTGGCTGAGAGGGTTTTTAACGAGGCACACTTACACAATCAATAAAATGACTCATTTAGTTCAACTCATATCTTCTTAGTTCCGCATTATTTTATGTTTTATGCTAAATAAAGGTTGAGTTCGAACCTCCACAAAAAACTACTTATCAAAAATTTGAGGTCGAATTCGAACCCCAGCATGATTAAGGTCGAGTTCGAACCTTCACAAAAAGTTACTTAGCGAAAAACCGAGGTCGAATTCGAACCCCGGCATGATTAAGGTCGAGTTCGAACCTTCACAAAAAGTTACTTATCGAAAATCCGAGGTCGAATTCGAACCCTGGCATGATTAAGGTCGAGTTCGAACCTCCACAAAAAACTACTTATCGAAAATCCGAGGTCGAATTCGAACCCCGGCATGATTAAGGTCGAGTTCGAACCTTCACAAAAAACTACTTATCGAAAATCCGAGGTCGAATTCGAACCCCGGCATGATTAAGGTTGAGTTCGAACCTTCACAAAAAACTACTTATCGAAAATCCGAGGTCGAATTCGAACCCCGGCATGATTAAGGTCGAGTTCGAACCTTCACAAAAAACTACTTATCGAAAATCTGAGGTCGAACTCGAACCCTGGCATGATTAAGGTCAGGTATCACAAAGTACAAAAGTACACAACAGACATTGAACGTATGTCTCAAAACACACAAACGGGAAAAAATCAACACAAAGGCAAAGAAAAGCGCAAAGGCAAATAGACGAAAAATACACATATATACAGCAATGTTTCAAAGTTCCACACTTGAATTCAACAAGAAAAAATAAAGCAGAAAAAATTTAACTAGGCTATTACAAAATTAGCCTACGCAGAGGCGTTCTCGCTGGAGTTGTCCTCGGCATCGTCCTCCTTTACCAGCTTTCCGAAGCGGACAACCTTCTCCACGTGCATGGCAGAGAGTTCAAACCCCGGTGCAAGGAGCCTGGCCTGGCGAGCCGCCTTGAGGAAACCTCTCTTATGCTCAACTATAATAGATCGTTCGGTTTCCTCAAGCTTCTTCTCCAACGCCGCCATCTCCGCCTCCAGCTTCGCCAGCTCCACCCTCAAAGAGGCGACCTCCTCCTCTTTGCCACCGAGGATGACCTCGTCGCAGAGGCACTTCTCAGTCGCC